CCAATGAATCATACCCAGAATGTTTTACAATTATTACCAATGGGTAAAAAAAAAAAAGGAAATATCTATATTTTACTTTCAAGTTGGCAAAAAATAATTTCACTCTTACAACATAAAATGTTTTACCAAATCCAACTAACATAGCTATCTAAAATTGAACATACCTGAGAAATGGCAGCATAACGAGCAAGTCCCCAGGCAGCTTCCTTAACAGCTAGAGCAGAAGGACCACAAGGAATGCTAACAACTGTACGCCTGCACATTTCAATGAGAGGACACTTCGATAAGTTTATCTGTTAACTAGAATAGACCAAATGGACTGAACAATAGTAGAAACTCTATATAGCAGATGTCCACAAGAGATACTAGTTAACTTACCATTTAGCAAAACGAGCACCTTGCTTATAGTACTCCGCAGAACGTGAAGCCAATCCATCTAAGCCTTGGCACCAAGACTCATTGTTAGACCCGGGGAGGGGAACCAAACCCTGAACCACAAAAGAAGCACGTGAATGACAATCAAGGATCTCATCTGAAGTATGTAAAGAAATTTCACAAACTATATAGAACCCAGATTTCTAGTGGCATCTTACCTTATCAACTTTGATTCCAGGTACAATTTTCTGGTCGCGCAAAACATCCACAAATTTCTTCCCATCGGTTGTAGACTGGTAAAGTGTTTCCTCAAAAAGAATGGCACCAGAAATGTATTCACCAAGACCAGGGGTCGTCAACAAAAGCTGCCTGTAAGCCTGTCTGTTAACCTCGGTATTGTCCAACCCAATCGAGTCTAACCTCTTTCCACAAGTTGCATTTGATTCATCAATAGCGAGTATACCTCGACCAGGGGATGCAATAGTTTTCTGTACCATCCAAAAACAAGCAAAAACGAGTTAAAATATATAATAATAGAGCTGTGACTGAGAAATCAATAAAATCAATTACAAGCAGTGTTAGATCAAACTACACAGGAAAGTTGAAACACAACTTTCCAATCTAGTCACCAAAATCTTCAACAATTCTATCGAACACCAAATCTATTTATTCTCTTTAGGAAGTCCATAGGAAACAAGAACATATATATTAATCAATTGAAGAGGAATAGCACTAGACCACACGATAAGCCATACTAATTAGGTATGAAACTCGCCATCTAAGCGAGTCGAACATGAGACCCTTCACTTCCTAGTGAAGCGGAATACTACTGGACACCGTAGTGATAGTGATATACTAATCAACTGAAAGGAATAGCACTAGACCACACGATGAGCATAATAATTAGGTAAGAAACTCGCCGTCTGAGCGAGTCGAACATGAGACGTTTCATAAGCGGAATACTACTAGACAAGACAGTGATAGTGACATATTAATCAATTGATTAAGCAAGACATATTAATCAGTTGAATTAAGCAAACAAATCAAATTCACATCCGGACAAACAAATCAAATCAAATCAAATCACAAAAAAAATTAAGAAAATGATCAGTCTAAAATAGATTCAAACTTTCAGCCAGCGATGAAATCACCAAACAAAAACCTCGAATTGTGCATAAATATTAGCGAAACGAAAACAAGTTAAAGAGAATACGCACGGCAGTTAGGAGGAGTTCGTCGGTGTAGGCCTTGGCACGGATCGGGACAGCGACTCGGCGAGTAGCGAGGCTAGTCGACGATCCAGGACGCTGAGTGAAGGACTGCTGTCCGATCCACTGAGACGACGCCGCATTAAGCTTCGCTAAGCTGGAACAGGCCATGGCTTCGAGCAGAGACGTTCGAAATTACTTTGGAGAGGTCGACTGATTGTTTGTTTCCCGAGAAAATGTTTAAGCCTGACGGAGGGGTTTGGTGGGTGCGAAGAGAAAGAGAGAGGGTGTGATATAAAAATAAGACGTTATTCTTGGTGAGTCCGCACTTGGCTTTACGAGTTGTAATGGGACAAGCAACATACGAGACTACCAAACGGCCCTTATTGTATCATTGTGTGATTTACCAGATTACCCTTTGCCAAATGACGATCATTGGGTCGGGTCACGTTTACCCTTACCTAACAATTGACAGCTTTGCCAATGCGGCTTGTTTTAGGTTGGCGGGGGAAAAATAAAAAAAAAAACTATGATTATGTAGGAAATTGTGATTATTTCATTTTTCAAATAACGCTTTAGTGAGGTGGCATAAATTAATTATTATGTATTGATGCGAGTTTGATTTTTACTGATTTTTGTTTTTTTAATAATGATATAACGCTATACATTAAAGAATTATAAGTTACACTTAATGAAAATTTTGTTTTTTTTTAAACAAACAATAATTCACACTAATGGAAAAATGATGGGTTAAGTCTCACAATGGAATAGCACCAATATGGTTCAAATTCGTCTTTGGTGAGAATCGAACCTAAGATCTCTCACTTACAAGTGAAGAGGAATACTACTAAATCATAGTACTAACTGATCTCATTTTTTTCTTTATTTGTTATAAAAAATGTAATTAGGAAAAAAAACAAAAGAGAATGAAATGAAAAGGAAACCGAGTCACCGACCTCCCACGGGACATGACAAAAGAGCCAGACGCCTGCTTTGTATGACAAGTTTGACATAGGCCAAAGGAGGCTTTATTATTTTTTCCAAAAAACAAAAAAGGAGGCTTTATTTTATGTTTGGTAAAGGTCAAGGAGAATTTCCTTTTTCTGAAAATGGTGAATTAAGTATTAACGGATAATTTCCGTTTTATAAGAAAAAAGGAAGATAATATTTACTTCTATATGATGTCTTCATTTGGTGAGCTATATTCTTAGCCGGACTTGGATCCTCTGCTGAGCTAATGGAGAGGATCCTACTCATCAATCATCCTGAGCCGTTAGATTTTTATCCAATGGCTACAAACAGGAAGGTCCTTTTAAAATTATAATGATTGTAGTCGTTGGATAAAAATCCAACGACCCAGGATGATTGATGAAGAGGATCCTCTTCATTAGCTTAGGAGAAAATCTAAATTCTTCTTAGCCTAGCCCATAAAATATTAAAACATTCCTTTTTGTCTTTGAAGCCCACGGCCCACCCATTTTCAATTTGAACACTGAGTCAAACGTTAAATTCAACACGTGTTAATAAATAATAAACAAATGATTGTCAACTCCTAATGATATTAGTGTTTTACTTGTTACCTTGATTTCTATTTCACATGCGGTCAGAATTTTTTAATATGCTAAAAACACAGTTTTGAACATTAATTGTTATAATATAATTAGTTGAATTTTCTTTTTCAGTTTTCAATCAATTGCACTATAACGCTTGTCTCTATAATCGCATTACCAGCACACTAAAAAATCTTTTATACCCATGGGATGCCTCAGTAAGTAGTTGAACAATTTTGTTTTTGTTTTTTTGTTTTTTTTTTTTCCCGTTCGTGTCTTGCAGCTATAATACTGGGTTTTGTTTGGCTACACTAACATTGCTAGGTAATTTTCTATTTGTACGTTGGATCGTATAATGCAGCAAAAGTAATTTGTATACCATATCGCATTATTGACTATTTTTAGTAAACAATTAAACAAATATTTTTTTTTCGTTCGTGTCTTGGTGCTATAATACTGATATTTATTTGGCTGCATTATACATTACCAGGTGTTTTTTTGTTTAGACGTGCTCTTCTATTTATGTGACATCCCACATCACCCAGGGAGTGATCCTTATATGTATATTCTCATCCCTACCTAGCACGAGGCTTTTTGGGAGCTCACTGGCTTCGGGTTTCATGGGAACTCCGAAGTTAAGCGAGTAGCGCGCGAGAGCATTCCCAGGATGGGTGACCCATCGGGAAGTTTTGTTTTTGAGTTCCCAAAAACAAAACCGTGAGGGCGTGGTCGGAGCCCAAAGCGGACAATATCGTGCTATGGTGGTGGAGCGGGCCCGGGAAGTGATCCGCCCCGGGCCGGGATGTGATAATTTACATATGGGAACGTATAATGCAGTTAAAATAATTTTCTATATTAGATCACGTTACTAACTATTTTTAGTGAACAGTTGAACAATCTTGTTTTTTGTTTTCATTCGTGTCTTGCAGCTATGATACTGGTATTTGTTTGGCTGCACTATATGTTGTCAGGTGTTTTTCTATTTAATGGTATTTGTTTTTTTTGTTCTTTGTAACGGTTTATCATTATTCGAGATTAACTAAGCTGGAAGTTGAACAGATGAATCACGAACAAACAAATAAATGTTACATTACAATGATGTATATCTTTTAGTATGAATTTTCTTGTATGCTTTGATGTATAAAATACACCACAATCTTCCATTGTTGAGTCCTTGGCCGCATTAGCTTTGTGTTTATTTAGCACATGTCATAAACTGAAGCATAGTAAAAATTTCGCTTTGTGTAACATTCAACCCTATTCAAAATAGGTTTGTTGTTTTTTTTTTTTAATCTAAAATGGTTTTTGAGATTAGTATAACTCATCACTTTGGTTTATGACAGTGAAAGTCGATTGAAGTAGTCATTGAGTTTGTCCGTATATTATTTTGGTCATTTTGGGAAAAATCTGTCAATATCTTTATTAAGTTGTCATGTAAATGACCATGTGATTACCTTTTTAAGAGTATTTTTGTCAAACCAACCATTCCGCTTAACGAGCACGTTGACAAATTCTTCACGAACTCATCAAATGATTGATAGTGGACAAACTCAGATACCACTTATATTAATTTTTATTGTTAGATATCAAAGTAAGGAGTTATGTCAATCTTATAAAACCCTTAAGCTAAAAAGCCTTCAAGAAAATGCTTCAAAACTCCACTTGTTTTGATGTTGATGTGTCATGTATAAGGATTAGAACCCATAAAGAACGATGCAGCCCAACTACACCACAGCATTCCCCAGGTGAGTGATTTATCACATTGGAGATGCAAATAAGACCAGATCCATTTCCCACCAAATCACCTACATGATCAACACATTTCACTCATGCAACCATAAAGTGCCAAAATGGCCGTTGCCTTAACACAGAAGTCCCAGAAAAATTCCAAAAAGTGAATTGAATTCAAGAGCCCCCACATCCACCGATGCAATATAAAGATAAAACAAAATTGTATAACGCCATCACAGCATAAGCTGTAAATTTATAGAGTTTCCATGTAATACTATATTGGATTTGGAGCTGTATATATACTACGTGTTTCTGTTCATGGCTAAGTTATCAACCTATAAATCGTGACCCTCCGAGAACCAGAGCGAAACGGGCAGTTTCCGATACAACTAGGGCACATTCCCGCCGTCCCTCTCAAACCCATTTCATCGTTTCCTTTCTGTGTAACCAAAAGGTGGTGGAGGAAATTCTGAGTGAAGTGAGGGAGACATGGGTGTGTCGTTCCAGGTTGCAAAGACGGGTACGAGGTACAGACCGAAGCTGCTTCCGACTGAGGAGAAAGACAGCAGTGAAAACGACTCGGGTTCTGACCCTCAGCAGCGAGAGAACGAGGTCTTGTAGATGTTATGAGTTCGAGTTTTTCACCAGCCAACCCTTTATTCAACCTGTTTCATAGTATTATTTTGATTGATCGGTTGTTGTTCGTTGTATTGTTGTTTTATTGTCTCGGTTGGATTTTGGGGTTTCTGGTTTCTATGACATTTATGTGGTTTTGGTTGATGGGTTTCTTTTCGGGTGGTGTTATATGCATACCTATTTTTACCTCTCACACATTCTCGTTAATTTCTGTCGTTTGATCTTCTTCAATTTATTCGATCCGACGGTTAAAAATTGAGAGAGAGGTGTGGAAGATAAAAATGAGTGTTTGGATAGCACCACCTGTTTTTTTTTTTTTTTCCCTGTAATTGTGATTTGTTGTTTGCATGGTTGAAGGTTGATGGAGAGTGAACTGTCACTTGTTTATGTGTCTTTGTTTTTCCCCCATCTTTCGATTTTTTTTTATTTTATCGAAAGATTGCCCTTTTTTATACAAGCGATGTTGGAAAAGGAGAATCAAACTCGGGAGCTTGGATGCAAAATTTCGCCTTTAATTGTTGTCTTTTGTTATATAAAATGGACGTTTTAAAAAAATAATTTAGTTAATAAGTTGGATGTTTAGTTGAAACACATTTTCAAGTGCCTGTAAGGGTTTTAAATTATTAAATCTTCCAATGGTTTTGTGAAGGTTAATTGTACTGGGATGGGAGCTAAGGTTGCTGCTGCTGATCCTTCAAGTGTATTAGTCAATCCTCAAAACCACTCAGTTTCAGAGGGTAACGCACCACTTTGATTTTGTAAGCTTATGATCTGCTGAGAATTTTTTTTTTGTTGAGAGTCAATTTTTCGTGCAGATTTTGAGGTATGCTTTTCACTGAAGTTGTTTGAGAATGGATTTAACGTGGGAAAAGCTAACGAGGTCAGAAATTATGACGATAGATTCTTACAGAAGTTGCTTGCATTTGTTAAACTATAGTGTCATTTGTAATCTTTCCACCGGCCATTAACGCACACCTTAATGCTTTTGTAGCTGCTCAATGGCGTACCAGAGCACTTGCATCCATATGATAGAGCATCAGAGAAACTTTTTACGGTAAGTCTGTGATTCATTATTTGCGCGGTGCGATTCACCGGAATGTCTTGGCAGTGACTTTAAGTTTTTGTTAGATGAGCCTTGCTATCTTGTTGTTGTACTTAGATCTTAACGGGTCATAGCCAGTGGCTTTTCACGACGACACTCATGGTCGATTGCTTCTACTTATGCTGCTTGTGCTGCATTTTATGCTTGTTAATTGTTTGAGTTCCTAAAACCCGGTTAAAATTTTAAGATAGGAAGGTCAGTTTCCATACGCATTTTATCGCCAGATAAACAGCTTACCTCTTTTCCTAAAACCCGCAAACATCACAAATTTTTAGGGGAATATTGGATAGAGCTATTGAAAAAAAAGTTCCTACATATTGGGGTTTGTTTAGTTGTTATTGAACATCAAATGCTGGAATGAACGGTCATGGAACTTTGATATCTTCTTTTCTTTTATTTTTAGATAAAATCTTCGAATATTGTTCAACCTTAAAGCGATTCGTTAATATTTTAAAGCAAGCTGCAGGTTCTTAACCTTAAAGCGATTGGTTTTCTATATTTGTCGTGTTTATCAGGCGATTGAGTGTGGTTGGTTACCTGGAGCTGTTTTTGATGCCTTACCCTGCAAATATGTCAATGGAGCCATCCTTTGTGAGGTGATGTCTTTGTTTTAGTGTTTAGTTGGTCATTGGCATTAGATATGGTAGGTTTGTCTTCTTGAAAGATGTTTCCTTCGCAGATTCAAGATTACCGCAGTTGTTTGATCCAAGAAAGAGCGACTGTTCCTATAAATAAAGTTCCAAGTGTTCACAAGGTTCTCTTGCATATGCGCACGGAAAATGTTGTCAAAGACATCTTGTCAATCTCCAATAATTCTTGGACCTACAGAGACTTTTTGGTTGGTAGACTTTCGTAGTGAGCATCTGTATGCTCCTCGGCTTTCCACTCAAGCTTATTGCCTCGTTTCATGTTCATTTCCTGTTCTTGTTCAGGAAGTTGAGTCCCAAATTGTCAAGGCTCTGCAACCTGCTCTTCATCTAAATCCACAGCCATTGCAGGACATATACTCTGGAGAATCCTTAAGAAAGAAGGTACTGGAAGTGATAGAATTCGTGTAATGTGTGCCAAAGTTCCAAATGCATGAAGCATATTACCTAACTCTTACATTTTGTAGCAGATCGATCTTGGAATTGTGTGGAGCTGGAAAAGGCGAAAGCTGAGTGATGCATCAGACACCGACATAGGTTTCAACAACTGTCATCGTGTAGCTGACATTACCGTTAATTGTGCTACTCAGAGTTGCAGCTCTCTAGCTGGTTTATCGTATCAAGAAAGAGGCATTACATTTTCAGAGCACAATGTTGTACGAGAGAACTTATTATCCACAAGAAAACAACCTTCTTCAAGAGAATTGGGGAGCTCACTTTCCGATCTGTTGACATCACAAGCCTCGATCTAAAGGTGCATATAATTGTAGCCAGGCTTCTTTACCGATGGTTGCAGCATCTGATTTTGCCACTTTACCCAAACCAAGTCTTAACTACTCAAATAATGGTTTGGGTATGCCTGGTTCATCGGCTCTAGATAAGAGAGTCAGATGTGAAACACAAGCAGTTCAAGCACCAATGCTAAAGAAACCCAAGCCAGAGCCTGTGGACTTCTCTTATCAGCAGCTTACTGGAAGCCAAGCTGAAACCAGTCTTCTACCTTATCTACAGTGGAAGAAAAATTTGTTGCATCAACGCAGTGAGGGTGGAAAAGTTGTACATGAAAGAATCCAGGAGAAAGTGCGTCCCTCGGTGATAATAAATAATGGTCAGACACGAGGTTTTCAAGGAATCTCAGAGCTGCAGGCTGCTTTCGACACTTCTAATGTTAAGTTAGAGCCTGAAAAAGATAGTTTTCCCAGTTCAAATTTTAGGAAGACCAAAAATGAGCACCATGTGATGGACAGGATACCTTTTCAGTCTTATCTCCAGCAATCACAAAAGCAACAATCATCATCTCAATTAAGAGATAATGTAACTACTAATATGAGGATACACAGGGGTCAACCTGTTGACGAAAATACAACTATGAGGATGCACAGAAGTGTCTCTCAATTGAGGACGGATTCAGATATATTTCAGGTTGCGGCTCCTGAGAATTGTGCGTCTGCAAGTTCTCCAAACATAACCTTTCTGCCATCAGAGGTAGTTGTTCCTCCAAAGCAGAAAACAAATCCTCGTCCTAAACGCTCCAGAAAAAAGACTGATGATTCTAGTGCTTGCATGGGCAATACCAATGCTGCTGATGCAAACCATGTTTCCATGAATCTTGCTTCATCTCGGTCATCAAGACCTAAAGTTGGATCTTTCCCTGAGAGCTTTTTGAAGATTCAAGCAGTGACTGTGAGGTAATATCATAGTTAAAGTTATGCCAGTTATACTGCAAATAGTTCTGTTTCTGCAGTCTTGCTTGTTATGATGTGTAATGCCTTGTAATGCATCAGGTATGGACTACATAACAGGGAGTACAAATTGGACCCATTTTTGCGAAGGAAACCCTTTTCTTCCGTAACTCCATTGGTTTCTTACCAACTCTTATCTTCAGGAGATAACAGAAAGTGGGAGAATACTTCCACAGATAAAGTTTCTCTCAAAGAATGCTTTCTGGACTGTGGTATCGGTATTTATGAAACTCGGACATTGACTTTTCTACGTCAGTCTCACATCCATCAAGGTAAAGAACTGATTATGTTTGTCTTCTATGCATGTCATATATGTACATATATGTAATTTTCAACCCTTATCGCTTCCTTTCTTCTCATTTGAGTAATTCTATGCAATCCTAGGAAATGAGACTCCCATCGTTGATAGAGAGGCTCAGGTCAGACTGATCATATCGGAGAAGCTTAATGAGGGAATGATGAAAGCAAGTGTTGTTTATGGAACCGAAAAAGAGATGTTTTCAATTGATTATCCTCTTCTACCAGCTTCTACTAGCACTGTGAGTTTCCATTTGTGATTATTCAGAGTCTCCTCTTCTGATATATGATTGCGACGCTCCTTTTGGAATGCAATAAATCTCGATTATTAATCCCCTGACATCTGTTTTGAGTTTGTTACCCTGTGGTCTATTTTACATTGCAAAGCTCACGGTTTACAGATATTTCCCTGATATTTCAAGTAACTAATGAGCACTTATATCTTTTGTCAACTACTTCCGAATTGCGGTGTCCCATGTTTTTATTTGCGCGGTCCCATATTTCCTTATTCCAATTTTCTTTTTCGAACCAACAGTAGGTCTATTTTGTGATTATAATTTTACTGAGATTAAAATCTATCCAGCCTCCGTTAGCAAACTGTATATAATAAGAAACAGAAGCCAATTTACATCTTAGAATCGCGTTGCTTGTGTAGATTTGATGAAGAAAGCATCTGATTTTATATGTTGTTCTTGGCAGCATTCTGCATACCTCTTGGCTACTCAGTTCACCACACTGGTAAGTGTTTTCATGGATTAGGTTTGTTTCTCAGAACATAAAATAATACTTCGGTATTTACTCTTTCGTCATTCTTTTGGACAGATGAAGCGTGAAGGGTACTACCTATCTAGTTATCAAGTAGAGCCGATTTCTCCCAAGGCTGACGGGGGCTTCAGCAGTCAGTGGCATAGTGCTAGTATTAGTGCCACTCCATCAGCTCGACCAATCGTCCTACCTTCCTCAACTCTGACCCCAAGGTTATCACCTTCAGGACTTAGTCCCATATCCATGCAACGCCTTTCACAGAACATTTTCTCTGGAGGTCAATTTCTCCCACCTGAAATCATACAGTTAGCTGCACAACTCCCGGACACTGGTATACCCAAGCAAGCTCTCAGCATTGCTACACAAGAAAATTGATGATGCCGCAAGTCCGGCAGATTCTGAATAATTGTGCCTATTCAATGTATCAGACGCTGCAAATACAACAACAACAACGAAATCAATTCATGCAGGGGGGATCAGGAGGTGGAGGAGTAACTCCAAGTGGTTTAGGTATGATTGAACGGGGTGGAGTCCAGGTACTTGGAAATTCTCGTCTTGGTTTGTTGGGTAATGACATGGGCTTGAGGTCCTCTACTCCTACGGAATTGGGAGGACGGATGCCTTGGGTTGGCAATGTAGGTCAGTTTAACAATCTTGGCAGTGAAATATCTGGTTTAAATGACAGCAAGCTGCCTCTTGGCCCGGTTTCTGATCATCTGAGGGCCGCAGAAGGCCAAGGGAAAGCCTTGAGGACTGGGGTTTCGGTGGACATATCAAATTTTCCAGGCGTGACTAGTAAATTAAGCAACCAGCAGCTGCTACAATTGCAGATGCATCCACTGGAAATGAGATCACCGTTTGAACAGCAGATACAACCGGAAATTAGATCACTGGTTGAGCAGAAGATACTGCCACAGATGCATCCACCGGAAGTGGAATCATCAGTCCAGCAGCAGATACAACCGCAGATGTATCAAGCGGAAATGAGATCACCAGTTGGGCAGCAGCTACAACCGCAGATGTATCAACCAGGACTGGGATCACCACTTAAGCTGCAGATGCAACGGCAGATGCATCAACAGGAATTGGGATCACCGGTCCAACAGCGGATGCAACCGGTAATGAGATCACCAGTCCAGCTGCTACAACAGAATACGGAGCAGCAGCAGGAAATGACATCATTGCTCCAGCATTCAGTGCAGCAGCCATCGTAGTCCAGCATGCAGGTTCACCTCATTGTCAAGTTACCCGTCATCAACAATGTGACCAAAGCCAACAACTTATCCCAGAGCCAGCAGCGCAACAGGCGAATGGAACGCGGCTTATGGAATCCAGGAGATGAGCTTGCAGAATTATGGCTATGTGGGGAAGTAACAAAACTTGAGCTCAATGAGTGTTGTTTTTCTAGTCCCTTGGTCTTTTCGTTTTTGGTGAACAGTAGTCAAGAGGTAAGATTTAGTGGGAAAAACCAGGGTTTTTGGGTGTACATTCTTACATATGCAGGGCTTACCAAGGTAGGGAGGGGAAGGGTATACATCCATTTTGTCTTTTTGAAAGAAAATGTAAGGGAAAACAATGACCCTCATGTTTCTTCAATGTTTTTCTTCTACCTATTTGTTTCATGTGGGGAGAATGGTGTGCCAAGTGTATGTTGCCAAAACAAGATCAACAGTCCACTTACCTGGTTGGAGCAGTGTGCTTCTCTTAATGCATTCAAGTTCGATTTTTTTTTTTTTTTTTTTTTTTTTTTTGTGATTTAGATTAATTTAATATAGTATTTCTCGTATTAAAAAAAAAAATCAAAACTCAACGGTTCATTTTTTTTAATACAAATGATACCTTAATTCATACTAATTAAATTATACAAAAGAGAGATTCAAATTTTGAGTGCATATTAAGACACTATTTTTTTAGCTAAGGCTGCTATCCCTTGTCTAAATAATTAGAAAGTAAGTCAAGATTGCATCGGATTCGAATAGGATTGTAATGATAGCCGATTCAATTACAATAGATTCGTGTAGAAAGTTGTTCGTATCTTATTAACTACATCAGATTCGGTTCACTCGGATAAGATTGTAATTACCATTTTCAAAAACAAAAGTGCGGAATGAATTGTTGAAAAAATGCATCGAATTTGAATAGGATTGTAATGATATCCGGTTTAATTACAACGGATTCGTTTAGAAAGTTGTTCGTATCCTATTAACTACACAAGATTCGGTTCATTCAGATAAGATTGTAATTGCCATTTTCAAAAATAAAAGTGCGGAATGAATTGTTGTTGAAAAAAATGCATCAGATTCGAGTAGGATTGTAATGATAACCGGTTTAATTACAACGGATTCGTATTAAAAATTGTTTGTAACCTATTAATTACATCAGATTCCGATAAAATTGCAATTACAATTTAAACCAAAAAAAAAAAATGCTCAATGAACTGTTGTGGAAAGAAAAAGGTGGGAAAAAGAAGTAAATGCACTACTTGAAAATTTGTGGATAAGTTTCCAACACTCCACGTCAGAGCGTCCCCACAACTAAAATAAAAACCACCCCACGTCATCACGGTGGACCCTACGTCCAGATCCCGCTCGCGCGTCCACTGTCAAGTGTTTAACCAACCAACCAACCAACCACGCCACAGGGAACCCAAGCCCTAACCTGCAGCTCAAACTTCTTCTTCTTCATTTTTCATTTCTTCAAAACCCTAACAAAATTCCGCCAATTCAGTCACTATATCTCTCTGAAAATCCCCAATCTCTCTCACGAAGAGTCGAAGACTATGGCTACGGACGGCGTGGCGGACCGACGGAGGCCACCGCCGCAAACGCTGAGAACAGGCAACAACGGAAACTGCGTGATGAGCTTGTCGAACAGGCTGAGACTGATGCCGAACAAGGATCACAAGGCGGAGAGCTACGAGGACCTGGAGCAGTTGGAGTTCAGTCCCTTGCTCTTCAGCTCGCTGGAGCGCTACTTGCCTCCCACCATGCTCAATGCCTCACGTGACCTCAAGCTCCAGTACATGAGGGACATTCTCCTCCGGTACTCACCCGAGAGCGAACGCACTCGTGTAAGATATGATAACTCTCTCCCTCAAGTTTGGTGCATGCATGAAACTGAAAATGAATTTGAATATTGGAAGTTTCAGAATTTCTTGTTATGTGAATTTGAATATTTGGATGAATGTGTGAAATGAGTTTGCTTCAGTTGCGATTGGGGTAGAATGTGTAATTTCTTTGAATTCTCCAGAAATGATTGATGTGGATATACAATTCCTGTGTTAAATTTTGATTGTTGATGCGGATTTAGTTTATGTGCCTAGTCCAGGGAGATAAGCTTGAGTAGAAATAACATATAGTCAGAACAGGCAGGGGCAATGTGCTTTGGTTAATTAGTCAATCCGGCAGTCACTGCATTCCTGAGTGGCTCATATGTTTTTTTCTGTTTGAATAAACAGGTTCAACGACATCGAGAATACAGGCAGAAGATCATCACACACTATCAGGTGCATTTAACAGCTAATATGCGGTTAACATTTTGAAACTTGCTGTAATATGTAAACAACACATTTATGGATCATGGTCGAATGTTGCAGTCATTAAAGTTAAGCCCCTTCTTTTGGTACTCCTGGATTGGGGGCTTGAGTTCTGCATTAGACATTTAGTCATGATGGCTTGTCAACAAACTTAAGTATTTCCTTCTTAATCGGTCCTTCCTCTTTGCAGCCTCTAAAAAGGGAGTTGTACACTCTGCAAGCTGAAAAGTTCTTTGTCCCCTCATTTCTCAGAGCAATCAGTGAGAACACAGAGGATAGCTTTAGAAGTATACTGTCTGAACCCTCTCCTGGAGTTTATACATTTGAAATGCTTCAGCCGGATTTCTGTGAATTGTTAGTAACTGAGGTATCATTTTGAATAAAAGTTAATTTTCCTTTATGTTACCTTTTCTATTTTCTTATCAAATTCTGATTGCTTAGGTGGAAAATTTTCAAGGGTGGGTCAATGAGACAAATTTCAGAATCATGCGACCAAATACAATGAATAGATACGGTTGTGTTCTTGATGACTTTGGCCTGGAAACCATGCTTGACAAGTTGATGGAGGACTTTATATGTCCTATTTCCAAAGGTATTTCATCTCTAGTATTGTGAAATTGTAATTAGAAAAAGTTCTTATATGTGAAAGATTAGAAATAAGGTTATACTTCTTTTTGTTGATGCAGTTTTCTTCCCGGAAGTTGGTGGATCCACACTGGATACTCATCACGGTTTTGTTGTTGAATATGGAATTGATAGGGATGTAGAGCTTGGTAGGTGCTCATCCATCTAAAGGTTTTAGATCTAGTTTTTCGAAAGAAACATTTGTACTTAAGCCTTTATCTCTCTGCCATTTCCACTCTTTATATTTTCTTAGTTGAGGGAGATATGCTGTAGACTGCAGAGAAATACTGAGGCTTTAGTATCTGACGGGACGATAATGTACTCTATTGCATTTTTGAGTTATTTCTACTGATTATATTGTTGGTTTAGCTGATATGGCATTATTTCTCCTTATGTTTTCGTAATTGTGTCCAATTGTTCAATACTGTATGTGTGTCTTCATCTTAAACCCCTGTGCTAGATTTATAGCTTGTTAAGCTTTTATGAATCCGCAACAGCTTTATATTGCAGGTTTTCATGTGGATGATTCAGAAGTCACCTTGAATGTTTGCTTGGGAAAGCAATTTTCAGGTGGAGATTTGTTCTTTCGAGGTGTTCGATGTGATAAACATGTTAATTCAGAGACACAATCTGAGGTATGCTATTCTTTATGATCAATTTTTTTATGTAGGGTCATATTTTTCATCTTTTAGTAATACAAAGACTTTCAGGTATCATATTGGATATCATTTCTAATATATGATAAATAGTTGTAATAAATCTTTTATTTTCATACATTTTACCATATATGTATTGAACTTTTTCTTGGAATTCTATTTATAGGAAATCTTTGATTATCCTCATGTCCCGGGACATGCCATTCTTCATCGTGGTCGCCATCGACATGGTGCTAGAGCCACGACATCAGGGCGTCGAGTCAACTTACTATTATGGTGCAGAAGGTACCGTTCTCCACATTTAATCCCCCCCTAGAAGAATTTCAAGAAACCTAACCCAAGGATTTCAAGGATATTACAATCTCCCTAACTTTCTGGTTACTGCACAATCTCCCTAACTGGTCTTAAAGTAGAGTTCAGTGAAATGTTGGAATATCCGGTTTCACACAGTTGGTTTCTCCTAAACGCTATGTCCTCAATTGTTTTCTCAATTGATTGTGCACATTGCAAAACACACTGAATGGCCTTGTAAACATACATTACCAAAACGTGTCATCTAAGAAATTAATAGAATTTATTTAAGGCTAAGTAACCTTTGGATCTTGGGCTCGTTAGATTCTAGGATTTTTTTCCTGTGTGCCGGTGAATTTACTTAGGAACAGTTTTGCAGAAGCTTTTCTAGGTATGCTTACAGTAAAACTGTCAAACATAGGGTTTTACTGCAAGGATTATCTCAATTATGCATTCTTGTTTACCAAATTACTTACTTTGTATCCCCAATCTTCTTGTAGTTCGGTCTTTAGGGAGCTGAAGAAATATCAGAAAGATTTTTCCAACTGGTGTGGAGAGTGCAAACGTGAGAAGAAAGAAAGGCAGCGCCAATCAATTGCCGCAACCAAACTGGTATGGAATATTTGATGAGACAGAGAAAAATATTCAGCGTGTTTCCATGTTTGGCATTCATTAACTTCTGACCTCTGATTTTCTTCTCACAGGAAATACTTAAGAGAGATGGACAAACTGCTTGAGCTGTTTATTTCTTTTATGTTTTTACTTCCGATTCTTCTTGATCTGTTCATCTTGCAACTTTTGCTCATGAAGTTGTAAAATCTCATCCTTATCAGCACATAGACGTTTTTCGTGTCTATTTTCAAATTCGTATTCCATCCATTACTACAGACTACAGTCGGGCTATATGTTAGTAATATGAAAGGCCGGTGGCGGTGTGGTTTCACTGTGTGTTTCAACGCTTTAGCATGCCCAGTTCGACAAGTAACTGTGTTGTGTTGTGCCCTTTTTATGTAGTCACACACGACTGTACTTGACATTGCGCGATTGGCTTGGATAACCCCGCAATGGCAATATGGCATTTCTGCTGTAAGTTTCTCTCCCACCATCCACATACAAATCTCATGAAATTCAAAGTATAGAAAACCCACTCTGGTAACATGAAAGACGATGTTACTCAACACCATCTTTAGTTTAACTCGTTCTACACGTTTGATCAAAATATTCAAGTCAAACATGCTTTCTCTGTTTGTCTACTCAGTAGGTCTGTCTCCACAACACTAGCTCTTAAGGAATTGGTGTAAGAAAGCAAGCCATTTAGGACCAAATGGTATATTGTTGCTTAAATCCATATCCCAAAGGTCGTTACGCGTGCATGAATCTGTCAATTATCCTTCTGCATTCATCACATATTACCATATAAAAGTAAGAATGTCAACCATCCGATCACAATTTTCCACGTGAATATGAGTGGCGGTGACACTTTGACTCGATTACAAAGAAAGTGAGTTTAACCGAGTGTTAAAAATAAAAATAACCATTAGGTAAGAATAGTGTTCAATGTCAGAAAAGGACATCTTAAGACCAAACTCAACTCTGGGCTAAATGTTATTTTTTAGGTTT